CTCGGCGGCGGAAATGAAGGTGGCCTTCCACGAATAGCAGTTCGTTTGGAAGCCTGCAGCACGCGAGAGGGAACTCTGCCAGGGCTTTGGAGGGTATCTTGGGGCGCAGAGCTGGGGAAGGTGAAAGCTGCTTAAAATCAAAGTGTCGATGAATATCAATATTGTGACGAGGGTGAGGAGGAAAATGACGATGGTGATGAGCAATGATCATACGTGTCAGAAGCGAGAAACTGAAGACTCTGCGAGTACTCACCCAGCGCCACCACCTCGACGACGACGAACTGGGATGCGGTAGTAGAAGTAGCAGTAGCAGCAGCAGCCGCAGCAGCAGGAGGAGGAGGAGGAGTAGTAATAGTCGTGGTGGTAGTAGTAGTAGTAGTAGTAGTAGTAGTAGTAGTAGTAGTAGTAGTAGTAGTAGTAGTAGTAGTAGTAATGGTAGCAGGAGTAGTAGTAGGCGGCCCCCCCTACCAACTACCCCTTTTGCATGCATTGCTTTGGTGGGGCGTGTGGGGGGGGGGGGGGGGGGGGGGGGGGGGGGGTGGGGGGGGGGGGGTGGGGGGGGGGGGGGTGGGGGGGGGGGGCTGATAACGTACATGCAGCCTCGAACAGTTATGACCACCCATTTTCGAGTTTTCGCTGAAAGCCCTCGCAAAGGCAAAAGACAACGTAGCAAAGTCCAGAGGTAGGCTTGGCGACTAGAAAGAGGGCTGACGTCACGAAAGCTCTGTAAATTCCGAATAAAATGGCTCTTCCGGAAATGTTGTTCGGGGTGTCGGCGCAACAATGTCGTCATCATTCTTCCCGCACCCCCCCCACCCCTCGCCAAAAGCCAGTCCAGAATCGGATGCTGGAGTTTGAAAACTCGTTGTAAGTAATGGAGTGTGACATGGGCATAGTACTCTAAAGACCGAGTTTAAAAAAAAGCTTTCCCCCCAACCAATTTCGAGTTTTTCGCTGAAAGCCCTCGCAAAGGCAAAAGACAACGTAGCAAAGTCCAGAGGTGGGCTTGGTAGAAGTACTCGTAGATGCAGAGGTGGAGGTAGGGCTGTTGTTGTTCAGAGTAACCGGGGTGCGCCTAAGAATAGGAGGAGTAGGAGGAGGAGTAGCATTCACATCCCATCTATAGCGACAGATGAATAAGTGCCGAGCTGCTGTCATCGTGGCACGAGATGCATTGGCCCCAAGTCCCATCCGTCTGTAGAGCACACCGGGCTCCCCTCACACACCAATCCTGAGAGTAGCATCGGGAGTTGGGGCAGTTGAAGCCGGTAGCTCCGATCGCTGCCAGGCGGAAGTCGTCCTCCCATTTCACGCAGGACTCTTGGAATTCCTTCTTCGTGAGGGGGACACATTGTGCCCAACTGTCGTCTGGCTTCGACACACAGACGGTGGACATTGGACAATCCTGGTCGTACTCGCATTGGACCGTTGAGCAATTCATGCCGATCTGCTTGATGGCAGCATCACGTAGCCTTCTGTCCCAGTACTTGCACTCCTTCTGAAAGGTGTCGTAGTCCAATGGAACACACTGACTCCAACTTCGATCCGCTTTGAATACACATGTGCGATTGTCCACACAGGAGCTGCTGTTCTCGCATCGTTCTGGCTCTTCGAAGCTGTCCGTTCTTTTGGTCTGGACTTGCAATGCACTTAGCGAGCAGGAGGAATCATGCGAACACTCATCATCTGCAGCCAAGGCTGCAGCATCCTGATCAGCTGCTGCCACACTTGAAACACTGAGGAAGCTCAAGAGGAGAAGAGGAAGCCGATTTGCCATGTGCTTCAGAGGTATGTACAAACCACTTTTTTCAGGTAAGTGTGCCTGGAATCAGGCAATAAAAGAGTACCTTGATCCACGGTGATGCACACGAAGTGGGCAGCGATGCATCTGAGACCGAGCCGTGTCATGCTGGAGGACAGGCTGTACTCATAATCTAGTTGAGTTAATACAAGGAAGGCCATGCACATAATCAATGATGCTGGAGTAGGAAGCCTCGGGCAAATCCCGTGTCTACAATGGGAATCTTCAGCCCGGCACTAACGTCTTCCGCAGCTTCGGACGTTGAGGCTACGGACAATCGGTGCAGACAGAAGTCTCAGCCACTTCATACGCCCGAAGCTCCAAAGCCTAAGCCCTTCTACTTCATTACATTGTATCATATGCTCACATAATAGGTACTACTATATTGCTTGAACTATACTATACTGAATTATGTCATAATGTCATAAAATATGACGCCGAGCATGCCTGGATCGGACTGATGGCAGAAACCCGGCCTCTGAGCGTGACTCCTCGCCCAAACCGAAGAGGCAACCCAGCGTAGCGACCTGCCGGCCGGAAGTCGAGCATTTAGGGTTTAGGGTATATGCATGTATATAGATAGATCGGTCGATAAATAGATAGGTAGATAGTTATTATTAGTATTGCCATTATCACTCTTGTCATCGTTTTGATCGATGATTTAGGTCGTTGGGGCTCAAGGCTTAGATGGGCTTAGGGTTCATGCTTTTTCGTTGAAGTCTCCTTCCCAATCCCATGACATCCAAGCAACTGAAGGTTTGCAAGCATCGGGCAGGAGGGCCATCACGGCAGCCACACTTACGACACAAGCTCAGGCACATCTAGAACCTGTTTTCATTCCTCATCCAGGGTTTAGCGTTCAGGATCATTGTCATAGTGGTAGCAACACAGCGATGATACGGGAGCAAAAGAGAGTGCTTGAATTGAAGGAAACCAGTCCGGAGCAGGCTAAGAACAGTGAAAGGCCGTTGCAAGCAAGATGTGCGGCATTCGATCAATTTAAGCATCCTTGCTGCCGGCTACACAAGCCCTGTATCACTGCCGATTTTCATGACCATATCTAAGTCAATATCTGAAGCAAACCATGTTCGCCATCGTGACATCACAGCATGGAAGACACCGCCACGCCACGGCTGCACCAGGCATGTTCAACACCACAGGTCCAGCTTCTCTCGGTGATGAGTGTTCGAACCCGTCCTACGATGATGACGACGACGGCAACGACGACTACTCCTACTACTGCTACGTTACTAAGTACTACATACTACTACAAGGACGAAGACGACCACGACGACGACAACGACGACGACGACTACTACTGCTGCTGCTGCTGCTGCTGCTGCTGCTGCCGCTGCTGCTACTTCTGCTACTGCTGCTGCCGCTGTTACTGCTACTGCTACTGCTACTACGAAGTCGACTACTAATTAGGGCGCAAGACAGCACAAACCCCTTTATAATGAAGCCCAATAAGGAAGGGATAGCCCTATAAAATGCTTATGCTTATGTTCTTTTAGGGTCCCTTATACTACTACCACTACTACTGGTTACCGCTGTGGTATATCCCCCAACCTTGGGCAGGGAGGATGCCGTGGTCACCTGCCAGGTTCAGAAAGTTCCAATCAATCTCTGAGATGCAAACACCTATTGACGCAATTACTTCCTCCTTTCCCACCCGCCTACGCCTGTGCAGATGGGGCAAACCGCAAGCCTACCTACCCCTGCCCGTGCACACAGACACACGGAAGCTGTATTGCATCACCGGCATGCTACAGCGGCCTGCACCGCGTTCGACCCGGTCGGCACTCCGAAGGCAGGGCGCAACGTGACCTCGGCACTCCGATTGCCAAGAGGTTAAAGCTCAAGGACCCCATCTGGATTCACTGGCTCACTTTAAGTGGCAGCAGCTCTGGATTTACGATCTAGTATCGGAGCCTTACATAATTCAAAGAGGGTTCTGGAGCCGATCTCTCTATAATGATAATAAGGAACCACCCGAAACCGTATCGGCCCCTAGATCCTTGAAAGGAGCCACCTATAGTACCCTTTTTGAAGCTTAGGGGGATTTAGGCCCCCAACCTATATTACACCCAAAGCCCGGAACCCACGATCGGCAAAACACCAACTCCTGAAGTTGCCCTGCGGTTGTATCGGCCATGGGCTCCCCCGATTCTGCGATGAACATGCGACTGTCTGATTCTTAGTGGGGAATGGGGTTTAGGGGTTTATGGTTTAGGGGTTAGGGAATGGGGGAATGGATTATGGAGACTACTATTGGGGATTATATGAGGACTACTACAGGGATCCATTTCCCCATTCCCTACTAAGAACCAGGCAGGCGCCGCTGATACTGTGGAGCAGCATGAGCAGTACTACGAATACTAGTGCTACTATTGGGGCTAGTAATGATGTTACTCTAGTCTTGCAGTTCATGCAGACCTCGTGCCACGATGAACAATGACCCATGCCATTTGCCCTTCCATTCATGGCCTGAAGGTCGGATTTGCACGGAATTGGAAACTGCAAAGACCGCGACACGGAAGCGGCATGAGTATGCCCCCCGAAGTGTCTTCTGGGTGTAAATCGTGCTTGAAGGTTCAGGTGCACTTGCTTGGACTATGCGTAAAAATAGACTTAACCACAACTCGGCATAGCCTCATCTAATGTAATTATGACCGTGCTCGCAATTATCCATGAGTCTTCAGGCAGGTATCAACCACAGGCGATGGTAAAGCCTGGAGGAAAAGCTAGTCCTTGCTAGCTGTGAATATGGTTGGGCTGTTCCAAATTTCGAGCTCTACGCAACATCATAAGAAATGGGCTAAAATATGGAAATATACTCAAGTCATAATTTAGAACAGCCCCCAGAATCAAACAACTCACGTCGAAACACTGATGGCTGGGTCAGAGGAGCATTTGTCTCTTTACAATCTGCCATTTCTTCGCCGAAGTTCGAAACCCCGGACTGCCGCACGGACCGCAACTCAGCAGAGGTCCGGAACTTTACGCTCCAGCTTCTACTGAGCCGTCGACATCTACATTGAATTAGAAGTGCGTCCCGACCCCTAGTGCTCTCCTCACTTCTAGCATACCCGACTGCGGTACGACCTAGTACTCTGTTTAGTGACTAACTAACTGTGACAGACATGCTTTCATACAGCTTAAGAAAGGTTCAAGCATTAGGTACTCGTGATATTTGATCTCAGCAAATCACCTGAGAAGGTGCAGAGTCCTCGATGCAAATTCGCTTCTCTTTTGCATCCAGAAACACTAACTCTGTCTCCCACCCTTCGGCCAGCAGTGCTGCATGCACCAATGGCCACCACAGCTCGGAGAGGTCGGCGGCCAGAAGGCTCAGCTTGGCGAGCTCCCCATCCTTGCTACCATCCTTCTCCGCCAACTTGAGCAGCAGCTGAGACTGGAGGAAGCCCTTCAGCACGTCTGGGGCTGTTGCCTCCATGTGGTACCATAGCGCCAGTCGCCTTCTGCAGTAGCCCAAGACATATCGTGCTGCTGAGTCGAGAGGAATGAGGAGCTGGCACGAGGTTTCAAGCATGGGGTTCACGTCCAAGTGCATACACCCTGCTGACCTGTATGGACGAACAAAGGCCTCGCGGTCTCTGATCTCCTCTACAGAGGGAACGAGCACAGCCTTTGTGGCTGGGCTCTTGTTTTGACTCTGTGGATCCATCCCATCGCTTCCTAAAGACCCCTTTTGATTAGGTATGCTCAAGCTGGCGCAGATATGGTGCACTGCTGGCTCCAGCACCAACTCGGCACGCTGGCGATTCAACGACTTCAGCTGGACACGGCACGTGGCATGGTAGCAACATGTCAAGGAGGCTAAGGCCAGAACAGTGCTGGCACACATCATCAGGTGGACCTCTGTGCCAAGAAATCGTCCCAGGCCAGCACCCAAGCCGGTCCCCAGAAGCTCTGCTGCAGTCATCTGTGCGGTGTTACAGCGCATGATATCGCCGAGATTGTTGGCTCTGGCAAAAGTCTCGAAGACCCTCGGACGCGAGGCCTGGCCCGTGTTCATGCTCAAGCGCCCCAAGGCACCGCCCAGGGCCGAGAGAGCGAAGAAGTATTCGGGCCACTGCAGCGTCAGGATACAGATAAGGTCAGCGGTCTTAGCCAAGGCTGTGGCATGGAAGCGAAAACGCTTCGGATCTGAGTCGAAGCGCTTGTTGATAAAGGTTCCGACAAGGATGGCCAAGAGATGCCCGATGCCATCCTTCAAGACCCAGGCCGTGACTGCTGCCATGGGAACCATCTCACGACCGCCAACACCCACAGCCAGGAGCATGGCCTGCGTTGCGATGACTTTCGACATGTGGCAAAGGAGCAGCTGGCAGGCAGTGAACCAGATGAAGTGCACGTAGCTCTTGGTGACAGACGACGGGTAATCAACCGGCAGGAAAACCTTCTTTATGAGCCGTGCAATTCTATGACATCCGAGCTCATGGTGCGCCAGTATGATCTCAGCAGCCGAGCCCCTGGTTTTCGAAACAGGATGCAAGAAAAGGGCTCCATTCCCGTCAGCCTTGACAAGGCTCTTTCTTTTCCGCTGGCCTCGAGCGTGGCCCTGCGTGATCTCAAGGGGCGCCCATGAGCTAGGATCTGTCATACTAAACATAACCGGTCCATCAGCTCGAATTAGGTGAAGGGCTGCAAACGTCGACGACATCCTCCTCAGTCGGTCCTATGTGCAGAAGTGCCTCAACAAACCGACTTCAAACTCCAACTGACTGATCGGAGAACAAGTGGCCTTGCGGAGCTCGAGCGCAGAGACAATGTAGACCTTACAGGCAAGGTAACGCAGTTGTCGTACCTGTAATGAAAGTGCAGTGGATGACAAACATAGACGGAGCAAGAACAACAACAAGATCAGCGAAGGCACTCTCAACCACGATGATGGCAGCAACAAACGTGACACAACACCGACAACAACAAGAACAAGACCAAGAACAAGGTACAAACCAAAACTGCAGCCCCCTCAACCCATGTGTCTGCCCTTTGTCTGTACATTAGGTAAAGACAAAAACAGCCCCGTCATGTTGTTTTGACCCCCTCCCTTTACAACAACAAGCCTACTACACCTGCATTTCTATAACTGGGCAGATGCTGTGTAAACCATGGCTCGCATTCCCCAAAACTCTACAGAAAAACTATGGGTTCGCCGGAATGATCCACGAGTGTTTCTAATTAACATAAGTAACGAGCTGCTGTTTTACTGCACCAGCAACAGCAATAACCACTACCACAACCACAACCGACAACGACAACAACAACAACCACAACCATCACGACAACGACAACAACAACAACAACCACCACAACCACAACCACAACCACAACCACAACCACAACCACAACCACAACCACAACCACAACCACAACCACAACCACAACCACAACCACAACAGCAGCAGCAGCAGCAACAGCACCAGCAACTGCAGCAACAACCGCAACGGCAACAGCAACAGCAACGACAGCAGCAACAACAACAGCAACAACAACAACGACGACAACAACAAGAACAGCAACGACAGCAGCAACAGCAACAACAGCGCCAAAGGCAGCAATAGCACAGCACAGCAACAGTGAACAAACAGGAAGGAAAATTACGTTCCGCAAGCCAAGACCTAAGTCTTTAACCCTGCATATGCCCTTCGATTCAAAAGCAGGTAAAGCCTCGAAGCTCTCCGTGGACCACTCGGTCCCATCATTCGACACCTCAATCTTCACGTTGGAGCTTCCTTGGCAAGCACTTCGGCAAGTCGGGGCTTAGGTGAAGAACTTGGGGTGTGGAGCCTGGGATTTAGTGTCTGGGGTTTAGGAGTTCGAGCTTCAGGGTTCAGCTTAGGTGACTGCGGTCTGTCCGACCCTCTGCAAATTTCTTCTGGCTATGGCTCAAGTCGTCCATCGCCTGAAGATGCTGAATGTACTGTGGACGTCTAAACTGCTACATACAAAACTCTTCACTCCCCGCCCTGGACTCTTGAAGCAGGCATATCCAAGCCCTGTGTGCCTGGCACCCCTGTCCCAAACCCTTGGACTGCAAACCCTTAAAGCCCGAAAGCCCAAACGCCCTGACACGTGAAGCTGCAAAACCCTATAAAGCTCGAGCACAAGGCCTGGCAGCTCGAAGGGAGGAAGGCCGCAGCGCACCTGTGCAACTGAGGATTATGGTGACGCAGCTGGTATCAGTTTTGGCCATACTCCATGATACTAACGGTCCAAGCACCACAATCCGACTGAACATGCCATACCTGCCAACGCCGCTCAAACAACGACGAAAGCAGCATCAGCAGTATCAGCAGCAGCAGCATCAGCAGCAGCAGCAGCAGCACCAGCAGCAGCAACAACAACAACAACATCAACACAAGCAGCAGCAGCAGCAACAACGACAAAAGCAACAACAACTAAAAACAAAAAAACGCTGGCAGCAGTTGCTTTGGCCACGACGACCACGACCACGGGCACCATCAACCACCATCACCACGACGACCACGACCTTGATGACAATGACCGCGACGATGACGACTACGACGACCGTGACGACGACAATGGCGGCGATGCTGCAATGCTGCACTACTACTACAACCACGACCACCACCACCACGACTACTACTACTACTACTACTACTACTACTACTACTACGACTACTACTACCACTACTACTACTACTACTACTACTACTACTACTACTACTACTACTACTACTACTACTACTACTACTACTACTACTACTACTACTACTACTACCTACTACTCCTGCTGCTGCCGCCACTGCTGCTGCCACCGCCGCCACCACTACCACTGCAAAAACGATGACAACCGACATTAGTGTCTTCAACTTGATCCTACAATCCTCGTAGATTGCGAACAATACGAATAAGAAAGCGGTGACAGCCACAGCAGGAATAGTGCAAGTGACAGCCAGTCAGAGCCTGCGTGGAGCTGATGAAGGAGGCGTAGGGCGAAGCGATGGCGTGGCCAAACTGGCGATTTCAGGGTCTCGAACGGGGTCGGGTTCAGCACTGCCTCTCAGTTGAGATGGGATTCTTAGTCTATATAATATAGGTACCTTAGTAAATAAAATTAGAACCGGTGTTGGGGCATACTATACAAAAACTATAATAAGGAACCCCCAACATAGTATTGGTAATCATTTAGGTCCCTATGTTATAGGGCTCAAGGAACTGGAGTGCTGTTTTGGCTGTCACGCGCCAGCAGTGCCGTGTCGACGAGCCGGCATCGGAGCAAGTTCGTGTTCACGAAGCCCAGGCCCACGATCAGCAAGCTTGGATCCTGAAGCAGCTGTGGAGGTATTCACAAGTTTTATTTGTTAAGTGCACCGGCTAGGTTTTCACAAGTTTAGAGTTTAGGCGCTTCTGGCTGGCTTACGAGGGCTCGAAGCAAGTTCAATAGGACAAAGCAGCTCTTGACCAGAAGCGCTCAACCCAAACCCTGAACCCCAGGACGTAACTGAACAACTCCAAACCTCCAAACCCCAAAAAGCTTCACCCCTATATAAAAACGCCACGGATCGCAACCCAAAACCCAAGACCCTGGGCCCCAAAATCCTCAGAAGCACCCCCGCACTGCCTCGTCGAGCTCTACTGCTCGCTGGCTGCGGTCAAGCCTTTGGTGCTGCGGGGGGCTGTCGGGCTGATATAAATCATGGTTATTGTTGGTATATTGATGATTTACTAGTACTTTTGCATGATTACTTGACGGCGTTTAGGGGTCCTTTGGGTTTTCGGGTTCTGGGGGTGTTCTTTGTTAGCGGTTTTAGGCTTTGGGTCAGAGCTTCAAAAGTTTAGGGGTTGAGGGGCTTACTGCTTGGGAACTTCCGGGAAAGAGTCAACTGCGTGCAGAAAGCAGTCCTGGAGTGGTTTTCCAACTTGTGGGACGTGACTTCCCCTGCACCGAAGTGCACATGTCGCACGCGAGAGATAGACGGCTTAAGTTGGAGTCTCTTCGTCTGGCCAAGGAAGAGTGGAACGCACAGTTCGTAAGGCGGTCGACTTGGGATGACGAGGCTTCACGGGAAACTTGCAGAGTGCGACATTCCGAGACGGCAGAGAAAAATGCCAGGAAGGATCAAGATGAAACACTCAGTCAGGAAGCTGGTGGAATGTTCATGTCTAAAACAGAGCATGAACAGGAGCTTGACGCACTTACCGCGAGACCCTTCAAAAGGTCCGTCAGTGTCGTTTCAAGCCCTGAGCATCAGACCACGGCACCATGCGCGGATAGACAGAGGTCACTTTCGGCGTCGCTAGGAGCATGGATGGAGAGACCTGGCTGCATTTGGCTGCGAGGACTTCATCAACAAGCTCAATACATCAGCAACATACTCTGAAACAGGTGATGTCTGGCTCTATGTGATGAGGTCCCACTGGCCAAGTCGGCAAATTTCTTCGACCCCCTTCTCACTATCTTTTGCGGGGGCCGAAGTGTTGCAACCGTAAACTCCTGAAGCTCCACACGGCTTAACACCCCACACCCGTAACCTTACATCTCAAACCCAACGCCTTGAACCAAAAAGCTTTTATATTCTACACACTGCCATCCACACCCAAAAATCTGGACCTGAGACTCGTACGCGCATTGTTGTTGGACTGTACTGGCGTTCCCATGAGGCTTAAGACGACATCCAAACTCCAACACCCCAAGCCCTAAACGGGCCTAAACCCCAAACCCTGAAGCACATCAGCCTCGACAGATGCCGCGCCCCGAACGAGCAGGCCCCAGGCTTCTGCAGCTCCCTGGCAAAAGCGGACGTTTGGGGGGGGGGGGGGGGGGGGGGAACAAAAGGAGCCTAAATAATTGCCAATATTGATTGTTTTGGGGGCTCCTTATTATAAGTATTATAAGTATTATAATGGGCCCAAAACCCGATTCTGGTTATTAAGGTCCCTATAGTCTTCGACTTGTGTGCTTTTCCGTCCTCCAGACTACAGAACTCGCCTTGCGAGAGATTACGACACACGGAGTCTGCGTGCATTCAGGCTTCAGGTTTAACCCAAGGTCCAAGATCGATTCAGAACTCAGGGTTTAGGGTTCAGGATTGTAGGATTCGGGCCCAGGGTTTCGGAACTTGCAATTCTGAGTTTAGTGTAGGGTGGTGGGGTGGGTCAATCAAGGCTTCAAGTTCGGGGATGTAGGGGTTCAGGGCTCAGGGTTGCCGGGGAAAGATTGAGGGCTTGCGTTATACGGCTGGTTGAAGGGAGGGGCGGGGGGGTCGATCTGTGCTTGCATAGCGTGTATATCTATGTGCACATATACCTCCTGTTAGGTCTCAATCTCTCTCTCTCTCTCTCTCTCTCTCTTTCTCTCTCTCTATATATATATCGCGAGAGAGAGAGAGAGAGAGAGACATGTTCATTTATTTGTAGACGGGCACTGCAATGCAAGGAGGTGTGGACATATTAGGTATAGAGATCGCTACACACATACACATACACATACCCATACGCATATACATATACATATACATATCCGGAAGAGGAACCTGACCTTGAATACATTACTCAGGAATAGAAGTGTGCGGTACTTTGTGGTGTAGTGCTGCATGTACCTTTCAAGTTATTGAAGTTGTTAGAATGTAAACTTGGTACAAAAACTGGGCCTGCAAAAGCAGGAGGCCCCACAAAACCTAGGCCCAAAAGCAACCTGCTCTACATACATATATATATATATATAATGCATCTATGTAACTATGTATACGTATGTACATACACACAAACAAACACTTGCCTAAACTCACGTTCATCTGTAGGTCGAAGAAAATTGTAATACATGTCGTTCCTCGCATGCACGCACGCAACCTGAAGACTCCTACTGGTACCTCGGTGGGGTCAATGAAGTAGGTGCTGAACCTGGGCAGCTCCCGCCCGAGGGAGTTTAGGAACAGTCTGCTTTTAAGTTACCATAATACAGAAACCAGATTTTATTTACTATAGATCCCTATTATGGTAACTTAAACTCCTTTGTGATTTCGGGACTCGGAGCCGAGTTTAGGCTGAACGCTTCGGTTCCTTGGGCTGCGTCGACGAAGCTTCGACAACAAGGTGAGCGGAAACTCTGGTGTTGGGTGTTGGTCATTTAGCCATACGTCCTCAACACGGACAAGGGTCTTCTGGAGTTAGGTCTGGTGTTGCAAGTTTGCAACCATGCGTAGCAGACGCCCAGTGAAACAAGCCGATGAAATCCAAGGACCGAAACTGACAGTCAAGCATGCACGCAACATTATGTAGGTTGTCTATGGTTGGTGCTAGGTACGGTGCATATTCTGCAAATATTGGAAACGGTTTCAAGTCAAGGGGGACATAAACCTCAATCCGATGTGACAACGTGTGGCTGCGGCAGCTACTGCAGAAAGCTTCACACGTCACCACCAATCTTCTCCAAGATAAAGCCCGACAGAAGTTCTCGTCAAAGCCCCCTGGAACCAATGGCAAAAAGCTTTCAGCAGACAGACTGCATGAGCTGATTCCCAACACCTTCTTCGACCCCAAGGCGCACATCCTACCAGCCCTGAACCCTCTTGGCCTTAATCCCTCGCAGCCGCGATGTACCATCTAAGACGAAGAAGACTCATAATATCAATAATGATAATGCTACCAATGATACTCGTCATACTGGAAATGATACTGAAAAGACAGAATAATAAAGCGAAGAAGCATAAGAATCTTAAACAACCTGCGCTAAAGTAGCTCTCGAGCAAGGCCCGGCGACCATTAGAGCAAACACTCAGACCTACAGATTCCATCCATACTATTTACTTCTGCTATGATTCAAACTATTCCGAATTTTACTGTTATTCCTATTTATTATTCCGATTGGAGCTATTATTTCTATACCCCTATACCCTAAACCCCAAAGCAATTATTCTCGTTGTCGTTACAGCCTTTAAAATGCTCTCAGCTCGGCACAGCATCCCCGGAGGATACGTGACGGAGTAGTCCACCACAGGAGCGCTCAGCAAGAGCCCAAGCCTTACTGGCTTAGGCGTTCAGGGGTTGAGTTTAGGGGGTTTTAGGGGTGCAGGGGTTTTGGGGGTGCAGGGGTTTAGGGATTAGGGGGTTTAGGGGTTTTAGGGGTTTTAGGTGTTTAGGGATTAGGGGGTTTAGGGGTCTTAGGGGTTTTAGGGGTTCAGCTGCTTTAGGAATGTAGGGGTTTAGTTTTAGTGGTTTTGGGGTGTTAGGCGTTTAGGGGTTCAGGGGTTTTAGGGGTTTAGGGGTAGGGGTTTTGGGAATGTAGGGGTTTAGTTTTGGGGGTTTAGGGGTTTTAGGAGCCGACTCATTGTCATAAAACGTACTGCAAAGAGTCATCAGAACCAACAAGATACATGAAGATCATGTTGGTAACAAGCTTTATAGCGGTCGCAGTTTCAAGGCAACCAACAACAGGCGCAGCAGTACTACCAATAAGAAGCCCAGCAGCGGCGGTGGTGCTGAAGCTAAGGATAATATAGGGGCCGTAATAATTAGAATACAGTAGGGGGTCCATTATACTATAATTTTACTATGGCACTCTCAAAATAGTATAGCCAATTATTCAGGGCCCCATAGTTTATACACACGGTTTTCGGCTTGCGTGTTTCGTGACTTTTTGGCGTACCAGTTTGTCCAACTTGTGTGGTGAAACAGCCCTCATGATGGGGGGCAAATGCCTGGCTACGGTGCGACCTGAAATTTCCAACGGTCCTAGTGTTTACGGTTTAGGACTTTATACGGCTCACGACTGAAAGGCTTAGTGCTTTAGGGTTCAGCACTTTAGGGCTTAGGATGCACGGAGCACGAGGATGTCCATATAGGAGTATAGAAGAATGTCATCTTATGCTTGCATGGCCAAAGGAACTGTGTACCTAACACCTGATTTGCTTGAGTTTAGCTCCCTCGTCAAGCAGTTCGGAGTAAACCAGTAACCTTGCATGGTTGATTGTGCGGAGCTCTACACCTGAGCACCTGGCGCAGTAATGGGGATGTCGATAATCCCCAAAGCAGTCGAGTTGACGACGCTCTCCGCATGTGGCCTTGATGGGCAGCTTCTTCAACAGCTTTCGGGCTTCGATAGCAGCTTTAAAGGACTCCTCTTAAACTCACGTCCCTTCCAGACACACGCATCTTGCATCCCTTGCTGTCCGAAAGCTACAGTAGACCCCAAACGCAGAACCTTTAATGAAGCTAGCCCACAGCCTTTCAGCTTCAAACGACCACCCCGGCCAACTCGGACCCTTGCGGGTCGTAGGCAGTAGGCGTCACCCAGAGTTTCACTTGCGCCTCGCCGGCTCGGAGCTTTGGGCTGTAGTGTCCATAGGACATAATATAGGGGCCTTCATAATTAGACTAGGGTTCTGGGGTCCATTATACTATAGTTATAATAAGGAACCCCCAAAATAATATAGGTAATTACTAAGGCCCCTATATTCCGGAGTTGGGATGTTTCGGCGTTATGATTCTGGTTTGGGTCTGGGGTATGGGCCTTGGAACTTTGGTCTTGTTGGGTCTAGGGCTGAAGGCTTTGGGTGTTCGGGTGTGCGGGATTATGCTTCAGAACATCGGCGAGCTTCGACCCTGCATTGCTTTGCATGTGTAGTGTTCCTGTGTTGGAGACATATAAAACCACCACGACACAAATAACAATGGCGAAACAGCTAGAACTAAAAAGCAAGTGACAAGTGTCATCATCGAGCTCATCACCATTTTCATCACCGCCATCGTCGACAGCATCCTCGTCGTCAGCGATAGCATCATCTTTGTCATCACCATCATCATCAGTATGCGTGGTTAAATATAGTAACATTAGCCCAAAAGAGACCTCCACACTTCCTACTACGCACGGCACCACCGACAACAACGACACGCGCCCAATAACAGCAACTGATGATGATTAAGGCGACGATGACGAGGATGATGACGGTGATCATGGGGATCATGAAGATCATGACAGGGGAGGACGAGGACAGGGAGAGGAAGGAGGAGGAGGAGGATGACGATGAGGCAGCGGAGGAGGAGGAGGAGGAGGAGGAGCAGGAGCAGGAGCAGGAGCAGGAGCAGGAGAGGGAGGAAGAGGAGGAAGAGGATTGTGGGGATGAGGATGGGGATGAGGACGATGGTGATGACAGTGATGATGATGATTTCGACGGCGATGCTGTCGATGATGCTGATGGTAATGATGACACTGCTGCTGATGATAATGATGATGCTCAAGATCATGATGACAATAGGCATCGCAAGGGGAAGCAGAGGCGGAAACAGAAGAAGCTGCAATCGGAAAGTCGGCCGAGTCCACGGCAGGACCCTGGAACTGCGTATTCTGCGCGAGGAGGCTGACAGGTGGCATCTGGTGACCGATCTCCTGGCATTCGCACTTGGATGCTTCGAGACCGTCGGCCATGTTAGGTACCCGAAATACTTGCAGAAACGTTGTCTAAGGAGAGAGCACCAAAACAGGATACAGAGCACCGATGAATGAATGATGGGGGCTGTTCTGCCACGACGAGACTTCCTCTTCGCGAAGAAAACAGCAAGGTTCTCTAGTCACTAGTCTCGAGCTCATGGTTTGAAGCCCGCACACTTTCTTTTCATACGAACACAATATAGATATACATACATGTATATATATATATATACATGTATCTGTACATGCAAACATATGTGTGTGACAGGAAGCTATGAGTCCAGACATTACAGAAGCCAGCGCGAGACAACACGAAATGAAGCTTTGGGAGTTTCCGAAAATAGGGGACCCTGATATAGTACCCTAAATAGTAGTAAGAACCTCCCCTTTCGTTTCATCGGCTGCCGCCTCACCGACCAGCCCTACCTCGGTGTGTGCGTCGACGCTTTTTGCTTTGGCTTTAAGGTTGAAGGTTCTGGGGTTTAGGGTTTAGGGTTTTGGGAAGGCTTAGGGGGCTTTTAAGCTTCTTAGGCTTATTGGGGCTATTAGGGCTGTTGCTGTAGGATTAGAGATATTAGGATGATTAGGGTTTAGGGTTAGGGGAGTTCTTGAGGTCAGGTTTGGCTTAGGGTGTAGGGGTACACTAATGAGCGGTCCTTGTACCAAAGGTCAGATTATTTATGTAAGGGTTCCTTCTACTCTGAAACTCCGTTAGGGTTTTTGCTTACTTGATCTTGCTCGGGTTTCGGATTCGGATCTTCTCGCAACCAGTGCTCACTAAGAGGGTTTGGTGGGATTTTGATAGGTTCATGTTGGAGTCTTTCGATGGTATTCCAGGGTCATGATGGGGACTATGTACGTATATAGCCCTGGTGGCGATGTTTCCGACTTGGGAAGGCTGTCACTGGTAACATAGTACCCATAAACCACCAAAGCTTGTGTTCCACAAATATAGGGGCACGAGGTACGGACTCATATTGCAAGGGCCCTAAAAAAGAAGCCCCTGTGTTGGAGAAACTGCCAAACCAAACATCACAAGGCCGCAAGCTTGATGATTCGTGCATAAGACGCTCCACGCTTTCTCATTCCGGCCATGACCTCGGCCTAAGCCGTTGCTTGAGGTGAAGGAATGTTACAGGCTACACTTGCCTACCTCTGCTATGAGGTCCCGATGCAGACTGGAATTTCGACGGCCGTTATAAGGCTATAATGGGGATCATGCAAAGTTAACACTCTATTCAAATCAACCCGAGTTGTCCAGAGGGCTGGGAGTTCCGTGTGCAAGCAGCGAGATGGGCTTCGGAAAGTGAAGGGCCCTCATATAGAACCCCAACTAAGGGGTCCTTAATGTAAGAACCCTACATCCGGAACTCTGAACCCAAAACACCCTTACATAATTCGTGAACCCCTATCAGGACCCTGTACATCTGCAACCCTGAACCATAAATAAGCTTGCATGGGAGTCTCTGAAAATAAGGGACCCTAATATGGTACCCGAAATAGTAGGATCTATAGGGACCCCAAAATAAGGTACCCCTACTTTTCGGAAACTCCAATATATGCCTTAAATCGTAAACCCTGCCCTGACTTGAAACTCCCAGCAAGCCGGGAACCAGGCCTGGACCCTGATGTTCGAAGCTTGGCCTTGCCGGCGCACAGGCTTTTGGATGTAGGGTTTCAGGGTTCAGAGTTTGGGACTTGAAGGCGTCTGTTTGCGGGGTGTGGGATTTGGGGACAAGTCATTGGTATTTCCGGTTTTTTGGCTCAAGAGGTTTAGGTTTTCAGAATTTGGGCCAAGGCCGTACATAAGGGTTTGGAGCGCATGAAATACAAGAAGTCTTGAAGCTGCAACAAGCCCGAGCAGTCCCAAAGGTACTGATACGGTAATGATAGCATGGGTCGGAGCCGAAAGAATACTTACTAAGAGAACTAACTAACAATCACGACAGCAGTCTTAATTCTGAGAGCCTTGGAACCTAAATCCCTACTGCTAAACCTCAAGCCCCCCGCCCCTGAACCGAATAATCCTGAACCCTAAACGCAAATCCGCAGCTCTGGCTTCATCCGGCCTTGAAGCGGAGCCGCCGTAAGGCGCCGCTCGGGGAAGAGGAGGAAGGTGGCCTCGTGTGCTGTCTTCCGTGGGAGAGGGCTCTTGTGTGGGATCAGGGTTTATAAAGTCTAGGGCTCAGGGCCATAAAAGCCAAACCTGGAGCCCTGCCTATCTTAACACCCAAACAGTCAAGCCTAGGCCTAAACCGCAAAATCCCGCAAACTAGAAAAGGCCAAGGCCCAGAGTTAGGCCTTCAACCCCAGAAGGCTTCTCAGTCTCATTTGAACCGAACTGAAGCTCAAGCTCCTCCAGTTTTCCTGACGATCTGGCTGAGATCACGAAACGTGCCTTCAACCACGGTTTAGGTTGTTTTTTTTTTGAACGCCTTGTTCCGTCTGCTAGCTCGCTAACGGTTTAGGGTTTAGGGATCCCCCCCAACTTTTCTGTCCCACACAACGCTACCTCCTATACACGACCGAACTTCAGCCCTGAAGCCAGTCTAGGAGATCAAAGCACGCGACCTCGGACGGTAGAGCCATGCCGTGAATCCGCAAAGTAACGCCAACCTGCCAAGGAGTCTACCCATAGGCCCCAAAGTAGTTCCTTTTTGGGGTTCATATTTTAGAATCCTATAAGGTACTAAAGGAACTACTATGGGGCCTATGGGTAGGGTCTTCAGTGAGTCTTCAGAGTCTGTAGGACGTTTCGAGTGGTCAAAGGGTGTGCAGTTTGGCTATCTTAAGGTTCTGGTGTCTTTATAGGGTCCGTGGCCCGGCCCAAATTCAATACTTTTGGAATGAAAATAAACATAAATTGCTCGAGTCGGCCTTGGATCTTGAGCCTCAGTTGTGCTTTGGTGTTAAGGCTTCGGGGCTTCGGGGTTGGGATTTCCAGTCTGTGGCTTGGTAGGTCTGGGGCTTTGGGATGCGAGCTCGAGGTTTTCATACCGGCTTAAGCTAACTGAGCACAAGATGCCACTGCAAGCCCTAGGATTGCGAACAAGAATTTGGGTCCGTTGTTCACCCCCTAAGAGTCAAGGAGTACGTCAGTACCCTAACATACTACTACAGGAACCTTCTTGCGGAAGGAAGCTTATGTTTCGCGCTGTAGAAGCACTTCTGGCCTTTGCGCACGTGACCTAGGCACAAAACTCTCTCCAAACCCTCATAACCCTAAGCCCTAAACCCTATAACCCTAAACCCTAAGCCCGTAAGCACCCTAAGCCCAAACTCCTAACCGTAGGTCCTCAGCCTGGGTTGTGGGGCGGAGGACTGGTTCCAGAAGTTGAAGAACTTCGGCCGCATGAACGGCATTCATGAGTTTACAAAGGCAGCGTAACCCTTTGTAGTGTCCAGAACCTGCGTTGGGCTTAGGGCTGATAGGGTCAGTCCAAAGCAAGCTGTTTTTCGCAGTTTGAAGGGGGAGGGACCACAAACGCTGAACCTCTGCACCATGATGCCTCAACCCCACACCCGTTGACAAGAATCCTTCAACCCTAGACTCGAGAGCAATCTCTTTCTTGGAAATCGAAATCGAAGTAAGGACCCTCAGAAAGACGTGCCTTGCGACCGCCAGGCAGCCCGGGAATTGCGGGTGGAAAGCAAGCAACCCGCTGGCTGTCAAGGACCTTGAGTTTGGATTTAGCGGGCGCGGTTTGGGGTCGAGGTTTCGCCGGCTCGAGCCTCTCAAAGACTCAACAAGTACGTGCACTTTGTTCTCCTTGCAGGCGAAGCAAGGTTGTTGTGCAAAGCTAGGGAAAGCCGGAGGAATGTGGCCTTTGGCAACTTGCTTTCAAATGCCTTCTGCCTCTGGGATACAGGATCTTAAGTCAGAGAGCCTCCCCCACAGCTTTAACCTTGCAGGCGATTTCTGAACGCCAGCCGTGCCAGTTTGCAAGCCTTCGTGTGAAGATCGCCACTATCCGCATGCCCAACGACAGCGAAAGGAACAAAAGGTTCCGTAGAAGCTCTTGTAGGGCGGAAAGACTGTGTAAGCAGAAACACCGACTAGTGGCACGAAGGGATGCAGGCTTCGTCTTGAAACGGTTAGCAATGACCATAAGGTCAACGGTAAACCTGTCTTACACCAAAGATCTAGACCTGAAGGCTAAAGACTCGGGATTCTTTCACTCGGTACTGATCTGCTAGCTTCTCCGTCCTTCGTAGGATCTTGCAACTCCTTGTCCGGAAGCCATACCCAACACCCAGAATGGAAAGAGTCCGTGTCTCTGCGACATACGGCTAGCACTAAACCCCACAAACCAATACTCAAACCAAAAGGCAACACCGGCGAGCTGTGACTAAGGCTTCTCAAGCAGGGCAGGTGCTTTCGCTTGGGGCCCCGGCCCAGGGTGCAGCCTCTGCCTCTTCTGAGAACCCTTCTGGCCGGAAGACGCACCTGACAAGGACGGTGGATCCACAATTTGGGGCTTGGGGTCTGAAGTCCTTGGATTCCTGAAAGCTTGCTCCTAATCCGACCGTTACTTCTCCTCCTCCTCGTCCTCGTCCTACTAATACTAACACTTCTACTAAGACACATATTAACTCTAATACTAAGACTACTAGCGCCAATACTAATACTAATACTCCTCCTCTCCTCCTCCTCCTGCAGCTGCTGCTGCTACGAATTCTGATGCTACAACTACTCCGCCACTCATCGTAAGAACTAACAGTGCTTTCAAACTCCACTTCCAAAACCCCAGCTTTGGGCGCTATGGCTGCTTGGGCGAAGATGTGCCCGTGCCAATAAAGCCTCTGTTCTACCCCAATCCTACAAAGACCTCGCTTGACCCTAAACCCTCAACCACAACGCCCTAAACCTTAAACCCCTTAAACCCCTAAAACCCTGAACCCTGAACCCCTAAACCCTGAACCCTAAACCCCAACATTGAGGTGCCGGGTTGCAGGCCTCGAGCCCTCAGTCTCGCGCAGCAGCGCTCCCAAGGGCCCTCCGTACCTCATGGCACGGACTTAGCCTGCAGCACTTTTCAGGATTACACTCTAACTTAATATTAACATCAAGACAAAATAAATATATATATATATATATATACAGATACAGATGCAGATATATATATATATATATATATACCAGTAACAGTAACAATCAACAAAATGCTTTGAAACTAATATGTGTACTATCAGCTTCTTGGGTTTCATTCCATTGTCCGGGGCTTGCAGCAGGGACTCATGTCCACATCAAAGCTGCTCAGTTCTTGGCAAAACTAGCGGAGTGTTGCTGCCCATGGAGGTGGCATTCGGCGAGACTCTGCCCACGATGGAAATCTGTAGGACCTGTTGCAGACCACGGCCGACAATGATTCAGCTACCAAGACCTCCTAGCAGGAGAAGTTGAAGTGCATGGCTGCATGGCAAGCTGTGACGGCAACCCTGGGACCTGGAACGGCACAAAATTCTGCGCAAGCACGAAGGGCGAGTCGTAGTTGACAAGGCCGACCTTCACATGGGCTGGCTTCATAAACGTCCGAGATGTTCCGCCATAGAAGGAGCAGAAACAAGCATCGGCACCTCCCACGTACCCAGGGACAGTCCTTCTGGCACCCGGCAGCGGACGTTGGCTGCGCCTTTTGGAGAGCACTGCACTTCGAGCTAGTTGCGTATAGTATCGTATAATGTACTTGTTAGGTCTACTCCAGTCTAGTCTAGTCTAGTGCAGTGTAGCGTAGTGCAATATTAATGTTGTTATAGTACAGTATGGTATAGGATATAGTTAGGTATAGTATAGTATAGCTTAGATTTCAAAAGACGCAACCATGGAAAGTCGTCCCTCGACACACTGCACACTCTGCCGAAGGAAGCTTGGGCCCAAGCTTTGGAATCCAGCCGTCGCGTCGACAAGGCTAGTGGATGCCTTTCAGAGTCACTACGTCATGGTCCCGCTGTACTTCCTGACGATAGGATACTATAGTATCTTGTAAGCTACTGTAATATGCTAATACAGACTGTGACTATAACATACTGTCAAAAATGGACTTGAGAGCCGCGGGCTGGGACGAAGCCATAGCGGACCCGGCTGCTGAAAGACGACTCGGAAAGACAGACAGGCAAACACACATACGCATCACAGGCAGAGAAACAAACAGATCGACAGATAGACATAGATACGTACATACGTATACGTACATGCATACATACAGGCAGAAGTGCATGCATACTAGTATGCTCAAACATACACACCAGGGTACATATCAATACAGGCATACGTACCTACACACATACAGGCCCAGCTGTCGGTATACATGTGCACATGCACAAGAACTAGGGTTACTAGGCTCCATAGTATGCGAAACAATCCCATACAAGCCCAGCCGAGACATGAACTGCGCTAACAAGAATCCACTGGTCAATGTTGTCCGAGAAGTGCAAAATACCTTGAAGCAGGAGCACCCCTTGGGGCCAGCATAAGCAGCATCAGACTCCAACCGAAACCCCACCGAAAGGGGCCACCAGAAGACTCGAGATCTTACCGAGAATGCCATCCGTGGCAATTCGCACACACCGCCCCAAGCTCACGTTGTGAGGTATCAAACGAAGCTTTGTGGGAGCTTTCGTGACCCAGACTAGAAATAAAGTCCTAAACCCTAAACCCTAAATCCCCAAACCAAGGGCCTCCATCTCGACAAGCAGCGCCGGCTCAGGAACTCGGAGTGACAGAGAGGATCCAAACTCCATGGAGCCGAAGCCAGGGCCACGAGGGCTTAGGAGCCGTGCTTTAAGGGACTCCTACCAGAAGTAGGCTCGGAAATAGGGTCCCATGAAGCCCAATAAGGGAGAATACTAGAAAAAAATGGGTCCCATTAAGCCCAATAAGGGGGAATATAAAAAATATCCCAAAGGCCTACCTAGTAGGTACAAGTATGTATTCGGACCCCACTCCCTCTCCAGGGCCGATCCGAGGCCGCTGCCAGTCCTGTAGTCGCGATGGACCCTTTGGCAGGCAGGCGCCAGCTGTCCCAGGCCCGTACGAGCAGTGCCTCTGTGCGTCGGTCTGTCTGCATCTCGCCTCTGCCTCTCTCTCTTGTTCTTCCCCGGGGCACGAGGGGTGTCTAACGCCCCCCGGCCGCAAGGGCCCCCCGTCGTTTACGGTGGCTTTGGAGGAGTGTGAACTCTGCGGCAGCCCCCGTACCCACAGCTGCCAGGGGCCCCGACCGTTGTCGTCCGTCTGCTCCTCTTCCTGTGCAGGCTGAAGTGGCTGAGCATCAAGTGCATTGTTTGAGATTTGGGTTCCTCCGGCCCCTCATTGAAGACTTAGAATGGACTGCATTCGGTTCGTCGTGCGATATCGCGCGAAGCGCTTCGAACTGGCGGATGACGTTGCAGGTATTCGGGGCGCAATGCTGGAACATTGGCTTCATGGCACCATCGGGGCCGCTCTCATGGGATACAAGTGGTGGATACAGACACAAGAAACGACAACAAGAGCAACCCCCTAGTCACACAAGTTGTATTCGTCATCATCATCATCATCAGCATGATGCACAGAAGCAGCCACAGCGGCAGCACTGGCATCAAAGTCGTGCCTATAATCATACATCCTCTTCCTCCCCGTTATGACCATCGACACTCCTTATCAATCACTATAAAGCCCCGAACCCTGAAAGAACCCAGCGAAGTGCATCACAGAAGGCCTCAAAAGTCTCCGTCGCATTGCTTTCGTTGCTGAAGGCGGGAATGCCTAGGACGGGCAAGTGCAAAAAAAATCTGTGTTTTGGGGTCTCAGGGGCGTTCTGGGGATGCGGGGTTTGTGACTCTAGGGGGTTTAGGGTTTTAGGGTTTCGGGTAAGCCCTAAACCCAGGGTTCACAGAGTGACGGCACATCCCAGCATGAAACTTCGAAGACGCGCGACTCCCTTTCAGGCGACGGCCCTGGCCACATCGCGTTCCTGTGAAGGCAGCTACTGTAGGGGCCTTAATAGTAGAATAGAGTTTTGGGGGGCATTATACTATGATGTTAATGGGGAACCCCCAAAATAGTGTAGGTAACTATTTAGGCCTCGATATTAAATCGAAATGGATTCGATCAGGGTCAATGGATAAATAAGCATTGCCGTAATGACAGTCCTACAGATCATTTCAGATAAGCCTGCGTCCGGCTGCGGGCCCTCAGTGTTTTGGATGTGCAAAGGGTCTAGTGTTGCTTTTAAGGATTGTTCGGCAACTACTACTCGCAGCTGGGGGCGTGCTGACATCAACTGCCGGAAAGATGCCTGGGCGTTGCGCGTCTCCAAGCAGCCTCCCGTTGCTGCCATATGCCCGGAACCTGAAAGACAGGATTTGGGAAAGAGGATGATGCTGTCAAAGGATCGAAGTTTGGTGTGATCGAAATGGTTATGATTGTGTCTACTTCTCACCAGGAACAGCACGAGCACAGAAACCTCCAATGTAGGGGTCCATAAATTGGGACAGTTTCTGACACACAAGAACTAAAGATTTTGCATCCTAGGATGTGAAGGCATACCTAATTGCTAATACGCCCGACTCTCACAGCGCAGCAGCACGAACAACCTGGAACTGTGCTCCGCGCTGACAGCGCGCTTCGGTGGGCAAGGCATTCAACGCACGAAACTCCACGGATCCACCGGCGAAGACCTGCAACAGAGCGTGCCGGGGCTTGGTGCTTCGGGCAATTTTTGCGAGTAGCATGATGTAGTATGATACGAATATAACAAATACAGTGTATGGTACCAAAAGATGCCATATAGTAAAATGTTGTTAGAATTTAGTAGACCGCGGTATATCACACGGCAATGAGCTATTCGGAACATGATCGTACATGACAACATAAAACATGAAATAGGGGTGCGTTATAAACAGAACCTATATTGCAACATTATATAAGACACCATATCGCAGTTCGGTACAAAGCAGTATTGCAAGATAGCGAAACACAACATCGTGCAACGTCGCTGTTTATCAAAAGCAACAACATGGTAGAACGTCCAATAGCGCATAGTAGCATATTACAGTACAGTATACAATCGTGAAATATATTTTATTGTACTATACTATACTATACTAGACTGTACTGCGAACATGGAAGCCGATGCAACAAAACATGGTATACTATAGCACTGAAAAACAGAGTTTAGTACAAAAAACATACAGCATGAAAAGTACAATTCAACACATGTATGTTGAAGTACAGTACAACATGGTAAAAGCATGAAATACTACTTTATAAATACTTCAAAACCATATGCATATAAAGGTGTGTGTATATATATATGTGTACACATATATGCATATACATGTATGTAAGTTCATACATCTAAGATGTCTCCGTGTGCTCGTGTTCATGTTATGTCTCCGCGTGCGGAACATCAACATGGAGATGCATTAGTTATTAGCGGCTCTGGTTGCGCAAGCCGGCGCCTTGGAACCTATGCCAAGCTTCACCGGCAGGACGATTGGGTCCCACTCCAGCCTAGCTCAAAAGATCCTACCAGAGGTTCCAAAGGTTCACTAGGAAATGTGAGCTTTCGAGATTTTGGGGTAGCTTAGCTTGGGTACTTGTAACCAGGATCCTACTATTAGGATACTATACTACGGTCCTCCATTTTCGGAAACTCCCAAATGGACTTTCGGAATGAGGATGGAGGAGAGTGGCGGGACAGCTGGCATGATGCCAAACTGGCACTGCTCTACAGGGTGCTCTGCCGCTGACATGCTCTGAGATTCATATACATCGCCAGCCATCTCTGGAAATGCTACCTGATATATGTCATGTACATATTGTAAAGATGGGTATGACGTCTGTACAGACTTGTATGTTAGTATGTTCTCAGTGAAATCCCGAGTGCTGTCGCTTGCAGCAATGCTCAGTGCAGTACTCCAGGCTCAGATCGATCGGGTAGTAGAGCCTCAGCATGCATGGGCTAACCAAACGAACTCACGGCGCCCTGGTTCACCGAGAAGAGGAGCCGGGGATCGGGAATGGAACAATGACATGGAACATGGCAGACTTGGACCTTCGACAAGGACATCGAAGGGACGTCGTACCAACACTGCTGCAAGCAAGCCGGGCGAAGGACTTGCCCGAGTCGACGGAGAGTAGCAGCTTGGCATCATACTCCACATTGCGAGCCTCCAGGTTCTACAGTTACTGCAAGCAAGGTGCCGAAACTGCCGGCACAGGCAGCTAATATGATGTCAAAGCCCACACTCAAGCATGAGTTCGAATAGGTTGCGATAGAAAGCCGTGCAGCAGTGAAGCTGTGTCGTCTGCTGACATTGCCTCTTTGCAGCGTAGTTACGCTTCGCCTTTTTACCTCGAACTCCCGCCCGGCCCGGACCCAAAGTCAACTCCCCGGCCCAGCAACGACCCCCAAACCTCTCCGCCAGCCCGAGCCTGATACTAGCCTTATGCTCTACATCCCGACAAGGCCCTATTCGGCGTCGTCTGCTTGCTCCCCTAAAGACCTCGGCCAGCTCTGTCGGCAGCACCGGAGACATGCAAGTCCTCGATGGTGGCAAGTGGATTCACAGCTTTCAAGATACTGAAAGAGCAAGAATAGCAATCATGGCAGTACCATGGTACCAAAAGTATCGGGGATAATAGTATGCACGTAATACCACCAAGACAAGGAGCCGGAAGAAGAGATGTTGGATTAGAGGATGCTTGGGCTGTCAGTTCAAGGTGAGTTTAGGGCTTGGGTGTAAAAGCAAAGCTCAAAGTTGAGACTCTTCAGCGTAAAAGCGGCGCGCGTCGCGGGTTGTGAGCAGGTCCTGAGGGCCTAAGGCTTGACTTGCGGCTCGTGGCTTCGGGATCCGTGATGTCTGGGCATTGCTCTTTGTTTTGGCTCTTGGGGAATATTGCTTAGGGATTCGGATTGGGACGGGGTCTAGATTTAGAGTGGACTTCGCGCGGAATTCCCTCATTCATGTCACGCATGAGCGTGGCGTGGAGGCGGGGCGTGATGTGACAACTCGATGTTGCATCGAAAGAATGCGCACGTCGCTCACAGTTGCTTATCGTGATGCTTGCGAGCCACTGCATCCAGAATATGTCGAATAAAATCGAAAATATCAACGGATCCACATGGTAAGGACCCTGCACCAAATGCTCGCGGGGGCCACATCCCACAGCTGTTTGACTGCAGCTGCAGAAGCGTTCAGCCTGGGTGGGCGTGGGCTTGTGGGTGATTTTCGGTTGGGATATAGAAGCTTGACTGGGGCCCTAGCTGAGTGTAACGATCGCTACCTCACAACTCCTACTCAAGGCCAAAACTACATACTCTGCATCATATCCTACAAATTCTACAACATCCGTTAAACATTACATAACCTGTATTACGTACAGTAAACTGCATACCATATATCAGGTATGCTTACGGACCTTGAACTGCGGTTGATGAAATGAACCCTGCCTGACCATGAAAAGGGATACCATAATTCCAATCGGTTTATATCATCAACCCCAAATCCTAAACCCTAATACCCTATAGATCCCTTAAAGGAGCCCCTTAAAGGGTACCCTTTTAGATCCCTTTACAGGAACCCCAGGGCTTATATCATCAACCCTAGGATACCCTAAACCCTAAAAACCCTTAAACCCTAAACCCGAAACCCCTAAAAATCCTGAACCCCCTAAACCCTAAACCCCTAAGCCCCTAAAC